GCAGCCCTGCCATGTGTGTAGTGTGCACTGCCCGGTGCAGGGAGGTGATTCACCTGGCTAACATCTAACTATAGATAAGTGAATAGACAAATAAAGAAATAAAGTGTGGCTATTCCATTAACTGGAACAGTCGTCTTTGTAGGTGGGCGGTTGCCAAGATCCTAATTATAAGAGGAGATTGCGTGATGGAAAAAAATGCAGTCGTATTTTTTTCTTGTTCTTAAAAGTGAAGGGAACACACACACACACACACACACACACACACACACGTTTTCTTATGTCCTGTGTAAAGTGGTTGTTCCCCAGTGCCAGTAAAAGAAGAGAAAATTCTGTGAAAGCTTTTCATGAGCTCTAGTTTTAGAAGGAATCAGAACAGTCATTGCATGACTTACACATTTATCAGGTCAGGCATTTCTTTGACCCCTGGCATCCTTCCGCCCTCTGGTTGCCCACACCAGGACACACCCTTCCATGCCTGCTGTTCTGCCTGTCATGGGGCAGCTCTAGCACCCAGGCAGAAGTGATTCTGGGCCCCAGTGGAGGTCCCACCTCCTCAGGCCTGGCCTTGATCTCGCTTACCCCAGGAGTGAGGGCTGGACTTCTGCCTGGAACGTGGTTCTCACCCAGGTCCCTGGTGGGATCCTGATCTCTGGTGAACTGTGAACCTGCAGGTGTGCCTGGGGAACAGAACCTGCCTGCCTTGGGCCTCTTCCCCCTGGAGCTGGGGCTGGCCCAGTTGCCCAGGGCCCAGCTGCTCACACAGTGACCAGAAGGCCACTGTCCATGACAGCTGCCTGCCCCAGATGTTACCTTCTGTGCTCCTGGAAGTGGCCTGCTCTCTGGGAACATCATAGGGTCAGTGACAGGCTAAGCTCCAGGTCCCAGTTCTGCTGCAACTAAAGGGTCATGTTCAGCTCCTCATTCCTCAGTCTGTTCTGCAGACCAGCACTGAGTGCCAGGATGAAGGAGAGACAACCCCAGGAAGTCCCGGCACCCTGGAGTGATCTGGAGAAAGAGGCACAAAGGCAGGAAATGCCTCAACTTTCCTGTTCTTCTTCCATGGAAGCTCCCGTGCAGAGGCCTGGCCCATTCTTTGGCATCCACGGCCACTGGGGCAGTCTTGAGGGCAATGGTGCACCTTGCCCTGATCTTGCCCCTGGACCAGTGACTACACAGCCAGGTTGGCCCTTGTGGCAGGACCTGGGGTCTGGGGCTGCCCATGCTCTGAGCAGCCCTCTCGGTTCGTTCCAGGAGGTCCCTGCCACAGTTGCTGGGAGGAGGGGGTAGCAGGGCCTGGTGGTGCAGGAGGAGGGGTCGTGGCCCCAGGCTCACCACCGCTGCCTGAAGTCAGGCCTGTTCTACACAGGGAGTGCACCCCAGGATGGGACCAAGCCAGCCCTGCCCTGGACCTGTGGAGAGGGTGGTTTTCTGCAGTGAGCTATTTTCCAGAACACAGGAATTGGGTTTTCTTTGCCATGGCTGCTCGCCAGGAGCCCAGGACTCCGGTAAAACGAGCCTGAGCTTTTGTTCAAGCTTTGGTTCCCCCTTTTGTTCAAGATGAATGACATTCACTCATCGGTGAGTGCCTCGGAGGGATGCTGGATCTGAGCAGGGTGAGTGGGGCCGGCGCGGCTCCTGCACCAGCAGCTGGTGTACTGCTGAGAGGAGGTCCGGGGTGGCAGTTGAGTGCCAGGCAGCTTGGAAAGGGGGACATCTAAAAGGAGCAAGAGACGTCTTCAAGTAAAAGCTTGCGTTCATCTCCAAGCGGTTGGGGAATGCCAGTCCCTCTGTGCCTGGCTGAGGCCAAGTCTCCTGTAGCTGGAGCATCGGAAGCCTTGGTACCGTGAGGTCTTGGTCACCTCTCCCAGTGGGCACAGCCTGCTTGTCGTTTCCCCTCCTCGCTGGAGGCTGTGGGAGTCTCTGTGTGTCCGCTGCACTGGCCATGGCACAAACGTTCCCGTGTCTGAGCACATCCCAGTGCACAGTGATTGCTGCTCCCTGCCGCCTCTCTCTGCTCGCTTCAGATAGTGGGGGTGGAGGCCCCCGGCAGCGGCCCCGACCCAGGGTACATGCTGCCACCCCAGCTCCTCTGTTGTACTGCCATCCCAACACGTTGCTGGTGTGTTTGGTGGGGACCTGGGCAGAATGTCCCCAAGCCACACCAGACAGCAAGTGGCAGGGCCAGTGACAACTACAAAATATCCTGTCCAGGAACAACCAGGCCCTGATGGAGAAAGTCTGTGATCTGTCCAGTGGCCATAGTGAGAGTTCCCAGTGTCTCCACAGAGCTGGAAAATCATCTTGGCCTCCACATCTCTAAGGGGACTTTCTCTGATGCCTGGAACATGAGCCTTCCATACCCTGTCAGCACACCAGGGATTCTGCGTGACTTGGGGACACCATATCCCAGCCCAGGCTGTCCCAGGTTATTGAATTTGACACTGCTGAAAGCAGGGAATGTCCAGTTCAGGAGCCATGTGTTCACAGAGACGTGGCTGGAACATCAAGGCCAGGCCTCAGGGGTTTACAGCCCGGGAAGCCTGGAGGTCCTGGGCCCTGCTCAACTGCACCCCTCCCTGCTCTGTCATTGCTTGCCAGGGCTGTGCCCCATAGGCTGGGCAGGGGTTGGAGCCAGGCCTCCCACCCAGGGCATGGCAGCACTGCGCCAGCATGGCTCCGAGCTTCTCCTGCTCTGCTCACACACATTAAACTCCCTGGCTGCACCACAGGACGTCCTAGAGGGAGGCCTGCTGTCCCTGAGTGCTGACCAGGGGCCCTGGGTCCCCATCCTGGAGGGAGGCTTCAGTCCTTGGGTGGTGAGTAGTGACCTGGGTTGGGGTCTGCCTAAATTTGGGTTGGATGCTGGCTCTAACATTTTCTAGCTGTGTGTCCTTAGACAAGTCACTAACCCTCTCTGTGACCCAGTTTCCCTGTCTGTGAAGTGGAGTAATGACTATTGCGTCATACACAGTGTGGGAGGTGAGTGAGTTGCTGCCTGTGAAGCCCTTAGGCCCTACGAGCCCTTGAGTCCATGTGCAGCCAAGGCTTAGGGCACACCGGGCCTGGCTGTGCTCAGTGGCAGTGGTCAAAGTTGGTGTGTGGCAGGGTCGGTGCCTGCCTCTGAGAGGGTCAGGTCAGTCACCGGGAAGTCTGTGAAGCTGGGGCTGCTCTGTCCCAGGCCTGGCTGAGCCATGACTCATGACCTATGTCCATCTCAGGTGGAACCTAAGCTTGGTCTCTTAGGCCTGTGACCTCACTCCCAGAAAAGGTGGTGGTGACAGGGCCAGGGCCAGCCAGTGCCCATCCTTCCCTCTGCTGCTATTCCCGCCACACACACAAGCTGGAGCTGAGACCCTCAGACCCCACACTCCCCACCACCGTTCCGTCCATGGGCCGATTCCTATGGAGTGGCCGCCTGCCCTGTGCTGTATTTAAGCCCAGTAATTGAATTGCGGTTGACGATACGTGTCAGTTTAAGAGCATGCTAATTGCTTCATTTCCCAAAACACTCCTGCGAAGAAAACGAATTTCCTTGTAACATTTTTGTGGTGAAGTGAGATGACCTGGTGGAAATCAATCCTGGCTCCGAATGAGCTGTGGAGTGGGTGGGGGTGCTGGGCAGGGCTCATGGCCACCCCTTCCTGTCTTGGCAGGCACATAGGCACTGCCCTCTGGCCCAGGCTCCAGCCCAGTCATGTGCCAGGCACTGCATGAGGCTTGGCACAGTGGGCACCTGTGCAGGAGGACTGGCTTTGCTGGGGCAGTGAGTGACCAGGTGTACCCAGGGCCACGCAGCTGGCCAGTGGAGGAGCTGTCCTCTGCGCAGTGTGGCAGTCAGGAAAGGAGCACTAGTCGGCGGGCACAGTGCGAGTCCCAACTCTAACCCTTTTTGAGCTGCCCGGGTGGTCACGGGGCCTCTGGAGCCCCATTGCCTCCTCTGTTGGGTGGATGCCAGGATCTCTCCTTGTGGCTGGTGCCTAGTGTGAGGAGTGGTGTGTACCTTGCTCTCAGTATAGGCCCAGGTGTGTGGTCTGAGAATGGCATGGCGTGTCCTTGTCATCACCATGGCTACCGTGCTGGAGCAAAGAGTAGGATGAAGCTGGACAGCATGGAGGATGCAAGAGGCCAGTGTGATATGCTGGAGTAGAGGGTACCCTCCATCCCCCATCCTTTTACCATCTATCCATCCACCCATGCACCCTCCCATCTTCTTTTTCATGATCTATCCAGACATCCACTCACTCATCTACCATCCATGCATTCATCCATCCATCTGCCCATCTACCCCCCCTCTACCCATTCATCCTTTCACCATCCACCATCCACCCACCCATCCTTTCACCATCTATCCCTTCATCCATCCACCCATTCATTGTTTCACCATTTGTCTATCCATCTAGCCTTCTATGCTTTCACTGTCTATCCGCCCTCCACCCTTCCATCCATCCATCTCACTCCATGGGGACTTCTGAGCAGCACCTGCGTGCTGGCCTAAGTTTGGTGCACGTGGAGGGGACATCAGGACCTGGCAAGGAGCCCTCAGGCTATGTGGGCAGCATATCTTCAGGAGCAGCCCCGCAAGGGGTTCAGGCAGGGTGCTCTGCCCTCATTTCCTCAGGGCTCCATGACAGTGTTGGGGCACTGTCCTACATTAGATGACCAATCACCAGGGGCAGGCCCTGGGGCCTCTGTACCCAGTGAAGGAGCTGAAGGCCCCTGGGTCCTTGGGGAGCTTGGGGTTTGGCCTTGGAGTCAGGAGACTGATCATTGAGGTCTCTGCCCTGCCTCTGACTTGCAGTGACCCGGGGCTCAGCCCTGGACCTTCTGGGCCCTGTCACTCCTTCTCTGACAGGAAGTGGGCAGACCAGCTGGTCACTAGACACCCTGTGGTTCTGTGTTCTGTGGGTACCCTTGTGCCCTGCTCTGGGCTCGCCCTCTCTGATGCCCTTGGTCTGTGCCCCGCAGCCCCTGTACCTCATGGCTCCGTCTTGTTTCTACAGAGCGATTTGCTGGATGTGAATCAGATCATCAAGGACTTGGCCTCCATGGTGTCGGAGCAAGGAGATGCCGTTGGTGGGTACTGCTCCAACCGTGGGCCGCCTGCCAGCCCCCTGGGCATGGGCGAAGCTGCCTCTGAGACTAGTGAGGCCCAGGGCAGGGTCGGGAGGGTTGGGCCTTCTCCAGCCCCCGGGAAGGCCAGGTGAGAGCTCCGGCAAGAGGGCAGACCCCTGCTCTGCTTGAGAGCCCTGGCCTCCCTGCCCTACCCTCAGGGCCTAACGCCTGCCTGAGAGCATAAAGGGTGAGGACGGGCCGTTCTGGGTGGGGGAGTCAGTGCGGTTGCAGCCAGTGCCCATCAGGGCTTCTGGGGTGTGAAGCCCGGGGCTGTAGTTCTGCCACCAGTGTGCCCACATGTGGAGGGTTATGGGGACAGCATGCTGGGGAACGTGCAGGCCCAACCAGGGCATCCTGAACCACCCCTCCTCCCCCTCCCCCCAAGAGACTGGGCCAGCTCTGCACTGTGGTACCCTCAGTCCTGCCTTCCTCACTCAAAGGAAGGGAAGCAGTGCGGGGAGGCCCAGGGGAGTCTAGTTACCAGGAGGAGCTGGGGCGGGGCATGGTGGGGACAAGAGGTCTGCAGCCCTGTCCCTCTGCCCCTGCAAGCCCCAGTGGAAGCCCCACTCTTTTGCCAGGGGAGGGCCCCAGGCAGCCATGGTGGGGGTGAGAGGTAAGGATGAAGGGGCTGAGTGTGGAGCCACACCCACAGCGAGGGAGGGGCCTTCCCTACCAGATGGGACATGGGCCACAGTGGCCAAGTGACCCCTGACCCCTGACCAGGCCTGCCAATGCCATAGGCCTCCTGCCTAGCTCTCCTCGATCATCCACCACCGGAACTGGGGAAAGTACAGTCCCAGTCTTGCTGCCTCTGAGGGTTCACCTGTGGGCTTTCCCAGGGAGGTCCTCTGTCCTCAGCCTGAGGTCTGAAAGCTCTGGTCCCACAGAGCTGGCTACCTATACTCTGAAATGAGGAGGAAGATATTCCTAAGACCCCTCTGTCTCTGTTGGAGTTCCCACCTGAGCAGTTACGTCCACAGCAGTTTGAAGATGATGCTGGAGGGAGTGGTGGCCACCGAGTGTCAAGATGCTGCGCCTTAAGGGCTGGCTGGAGTCTGTCACCTGAGCTCTGCAGCCAACAGTCCAGGCCAGGCTCTCAGGGGACCCACATGCTCTGGCCTTCTCCACTTGTTCAGAGCCCAGGGAGAGTCAGGGACGCTGGTGCCCTCTGCCCAGTATGGTCACATGGTGACCCTGACATGCACTCGTCTGCACCCGTGCTGGCGCTCAGGGGTGTGCAGGTGGCTTCTGAAGGGCTCGCTCACCTCGCTGCCCTCCCTCATAAGGACCCTGGCCTAGGCATGCCGTATGTTTGAGCTGGCGGGAAGTAGCTCCTGGTGCTCTGGCTGGGCCTTTTGTCACATCAGCTAGGAAGAGCAAGGCCCAGAGTGGCCAGTTCCCAGTGTCCAGAGGAGCTTGGTTAGAGCATTCAGCTGCTTGCCAGGACCCTCCGTTCTCTGGCCGAGCTATGGTCTCATGTGGGGCCTGTAGTGAGAACTTCCTCCCCACTTCTCACGCTGACAGCTGTGTCCCGAGGCCCTCGGGCAGCCAGCACCCTTATCCTGGGTGCTGTGTTGTGTCCCAGGAGACACGACTGAGGCACAAGTGGGAGGCTGGGCCAGAGGCTGCCATGTCCCCTGCCCCACACTGCTCCCTGAGGTCATGTCAGGCCATCTTACCCCTCAGCCCCACAGAATCTGGGCTTCCACCTGCTCCCTGGGCCTGGACATCACTCCCTAGGCTGCTCTGTTGCCCCCTCACCACTTCTGCTCCCAGGACTGGCCCGTCTCCTCACCCTCCCACCCACTCACCAGCTGTTGGCCTGCAAGGATGGCTGCAGCCGTGTCCACCTCTGGCTAGCTGCTGTGGGCTGGGATGTGCCATGCACGTGGAATGGCTTGTCCACTCCAGATGCCTGCCCCGTCCCAGTGACAGACCAGGCAGATGGGGCCATCCCTTGGATGGGGAGGGACATCCCTGCCAGCAGTTCAGGGAGGGAGTGGTCTTGGGGACAGGGACAACCCAGGGTGACCTGCCATACAGGTTGGGGGAGGGGAGACAGCACCTGGTAGTGAGGCAGGCAGGAGGCTCAGAGTGACCATGACACCAGGCCCTGAAGCTATGGGTGCAGGCCATCTGTGCCAGGCACTGATGTGGGGCTACCCACTGCGCACTTACATGGGCCTGCAGTGACCTGGGGCCACCAGCCTGCTGGCACCTCCTTCCCACAGTCTCCGCCCACTGCTCAGCCTCTGGTGCCTTTCCAGGGTCCAGCAGCAGCAAGGCCACATGCCGGCGGAGCTGCAGCCCCGAGCCAGCCATGGCGGCCCTGCTGCCATGTGCTGGGCCGGGCTCCACGCCCCTGCGGCCAGGGCCCCACTCCCGCACCAAGACACGCAAGCCCAACTTCAGCCCCCAAGAGACGGAGGTGCTGGTGCAGAGGGTGACACGCCACTACCCGCTGCTGTTTGGGGCACTGCGGGGCACGCCCGCCCGGAAGCACCGCGTGTGGAGCAGGATCCTGCAGGCAGTGAATGCCCTGGGCTACTGCCGCCGAGACCTGGGTGACCTCAAGCATAAGTGGCGAGACCTCCGTGGCGCTGTGCGAAAGAAGCTGGCTGAGGGCGGCCCCGCCCCCAGCCTCATCCTCACACCCGTGGAGCGCATGGTGGCAGAGACCTTCGCCCAGGCTCCCCAAGGCGAGGGTCAGGTCGTGGAGCCCTTGCCAAGTAAGTGGCCTCCCTACAACCCTCCCCCCAGGCCCGCCCCGCCCAGGCAAGTAGGGCCAGCTGGCAGGCCATGCGCACAGCCCTGAGAGGCACACTCCCAGGGAGACCCAAGGCCCGTGGAGATAGCTCCTCGCCCTCCTGGCCCCTCTCTGCTTCTAGATAGGGAAACCCAGGCTCGGGGCCTGGAGAAGAGCTGCGCTGGCAGCCAGGCTCACCCTGGCCTGAGCTCAGGCTCCGTCGGGTTGCCAGGCTTGCAGCTGAGGGGCTCCACCATAGGTGCCTCCTCGAGCCATGCCCACGTGAGCACTGGACTCACGTAGGTGCCTGGATGGGACACTGGGCCCTATTTCCACTTCACTGTGGAGAGATGTGGATCATGGTGGGGAAGTAGCGAGGTGGCCACTGGGACCCACATATGGGTGAGGTGCAGAGACAAGGGATGTGGCAGCCCAGGGGCAGTCTCTGGAAGTATGGCGGGAAGCTCCCTCTGGCCTGGGCCACAGCCTGGCCTCATCCACGCCTAGCCCTCCCCCGTCATGGCAGAGCACAGCTCTCATTAGGCTACCAGGGTTTTAAAACCAGCAGGTCCCAGCAGAGAAGACCCCACTGCCCCATGCAGGCAGCAGTGTCTGGCTGGCTACAGGGTTTGAAGACGGGAGGGCGTCTGGGAGGAAGGGGGCTTCCCTCTCCCCTCCCTCCTTCCCTGGTGCTCTGGGGTGCAGCCACCACGTGGAGACAGGGCCACTCAGCAGGCGAGAGGAGCCTCAGCCAGGACCCAACTCCAGCCGCCTGGCCTTTGCCACAGGCCCTGGGGAGGAGGAGGTGACCTTCCCATTAGTCTATCAATGTTGTGGAATTTTGGCAGAGCTGGGGAGGATCCCAGGCCCAGCTTGGCCCTTCTGGCTGCCTCGCTCCTGGGTGTGTCGGGGGTGGGTGCCCACACCCCCCTGTGGGCCCTTCATCCTGAGCTCACTCTGGGGCCCCACACCTAGTGCTCTCCAGTGGCTCTCAGCCGCCCAGACACGCTGTCCTCCCATCTGAGCCCAAACCACCTTTGCCAGAACTTTCTGCACTTGCTTGGGCCCCTTCTATAGCCCATAGCTGCCTCCGGCTCCCAGGTTGATGCTGGCTCAGACCCTGTGCTGCCTGCTGCCGCCTCTCCTCTTCTCCTCCCACTGCGGTCAGGAGACCCTCCTCCTCGAAGCTGAGCCCCACCAGACTTTACCCTTCCTTGGGAGCTGCCAGAAGGACTTCAAGAACGAAGCCCCGGGAACAGGACCAGCTACCACCCCAGAGCCACAGTGTGAACAGCAGGATCCAGCCTTGTGGGCACGAGCAGGGGTCAGCGTCAAACACGCCCGACAGGCGGCCACAACAGGACATGAAGCCCTATGACATCCTGCTCTGCAGTGGTGCTTGCAACTGGGACACATGGCACAGAGCGAGCTTGGTGGGTGGGAGCTGTGTGGACTCACGAGCCCCCCCCCCACTTGCAGAGCCTGTGGCCTGGGTGATGGCCTTTCTGTGGGGCAAGGCTGGAGGGGGGACCTGTGGGTCCTGCCTGTCACATCTGGGAGGCCACATGCTCTCTCTTATAGGGTGGGTCCCACAGCCCATGGGCAGCAGTCGATCTGGTTTTGGGTGCTTCGGGGCAAGCGCGGACATGCTATGTGGGACTGGGTGGTGCTGGTGTGGCCTGCGTGCTCAGTCCCTTTCTGCAAGTCCCCAGCCTGGAAGCTGGCAGGAACTCAGGTGTGCTCACTCCTGTGGTTCTCTGCCCTGGGCTAAGGCCCAGCCCCAACTTCTCAGGCCCCCTGGTAGGCCATGGCCCTGGGCTCACTTCCATCAGGGAGCCCAGCTGCCTGGTCCTTTGATGCCCATCAGCTCATCATGGGAGTGGCCTGGCCCACTCCTGACAGTAGCTGAAGTTTGTTGAATGACTGACTGAGTGAGTGGGAAGGGGCAGACTCCCCCTGTAGGAGCTGAGTCCAGGAGCAGAGAGGTGGCTGTAAAGCCTGATGATGGGGTAGGCGACATCCCCATTGGAGGCCCCAGTACCCCAGAGCTGGCCTGTGGCTTGGGCAAGGCCAGACCTGCAGGGGCATATCACAGCTGGGGGGTTGTAGACAGCGATTTGACAAAATGCATGGGGATCTTCCACGGGGGTCCTTGTGCCCTGAGACCACTACGTGGACACTTTCCCTTGAGGTATGTCTTCTGCCTTTCATGTGTCTGGGGAGGGGACGGTGCCAGGGGATTCTCTCTGGCCTCTGAGGCCTGGCCCAGCATTTGGGCAACGCATTGACTCCCGGAGCCAGGAGCCCTTCGAGGTAGCTCCCACCAAGCAGCCCCCTGTGTCATGGGTTGGAGGGTGCCCAGGGGCTTGTGGCTCTGCAGGGCTGACCCTGCAGACCTGGGTCTTCAAGACCAGGCAACAAGCAGTCAGAGCGAAGCTTGGTCTTGTCCTCACATAGCCTGGGAGTCACCTCTCCTGCCCATCTCTGAGCACTGCTGTGCGGCTGGACAACACATGATACCTGACGGCACCTGGGGCTAAGGGAGAGGTTGCTGGTGCAGAGCCGGGTATTTGGTTGTATGATGTCCCAGGGTAGGACTTCGTCTGAATTTGGGGAGTGCCATGCTGGCTAGGAACATCCCCAGGACCGCACTTGGCCTGTGGCTTGTGCGTGAAGCCCCCGGGGCACCAGGAGCTGTAGTCCCTGTTCTGAGGGACCTTGACTGCCGAGTCATGTGTATCTCCAAATGGTGTGCTTACAGTTGGAGTCAGGGCTGAGAGTGTCCCTAGGCTCAGTACTCTGTGTAGAGCAGGATCAGGCTTTATCTAAATCCAAGGGTAGGATCCAGGCCTTAGCTTAGGCTGTGTGTGGTCATAGGGTAGAGAAGGGACCCAGAGGGGAGTATGGCCTTTCTAGGGCCACCTGTGTCAGCCTGGACCATGGTGGCAAGCCTTCTCTGCATCCCCCTTCTGTGACAGGAGCAGGGCCAGGTTACTGCCGCTGGGGTCTGCAGATGGAAGGTGGCTTCTGTGCACATGAGCAGGGCAGTGCCCGTGGCAGGGTCAGGCCTGGGTGGGCACCTCCTTCCTGGCAAGGCTAGTCCTGGAGGGAGAATCCCATTTCCAGCCCATCCTTCCTTCCCCTCCAGTCCTCCCCTGGCTGAGGGGAGTGGCTCTCGATGTGATGTGATGCATGCAGAGCGCTGTGTTCCCTGGGGGCCAGCTGCAGCCTCCACAGGCCCCGGAGAAGAAAGGGTGCTGGGCTCCGGAGCAGCTGGGGCCATGGCCTACTGCCCCCCTCTCCTACCATTGGGTTCCCTGTGGAGGGGCTGGAGCTCCCAGATGGTTGGTAGGGTGTGTCTGTGACTGCCTTTGGCCCCACTAGGGCCCTAAGCTGGGGTGAGGTTGGGGCCCTAAGTTGGTGAACCATGGGTTAAAGGGTCCCTGTGAGGTCTGGGTGGTGGACTTCTCAAAGGCAGGGCCTGTGGCTCCCCTGGGGCTCACAGAGATGGGGCCGCCTTTCCCTGATCGGAGCGGGGTCCCTATGGCAAGGGTGGGGGCAGCTCTCTCTTCCTGAGGACCCTGCTTCTTCAGAGCACATCCTGCAGAGCCAGAGAGGATGCTGTGCCCGGCAGCAGCGCCTATGGTTGTAACAGCCTTCTTTGTCCCAGGCTTCAAGCCCCTTGAAGCTCAGGTCAGCTGGGGGCCGTGCCCAGGTGCGCACTACAGATGCATGGTCTGAATTCCAGTGTTTCTGCCTTCCAGGTTCTTACCCACATGGCTGATTTGGGAGGCATGACTTCTGAGGGATGTCTCTTCCTTGAGAATTAATGAGCTTGCCTCATATGTGCATCTGACCCCACCAGCCAGTGGGAGTAGCAGGGTCTCTGGAGGACCGGGCTGCAGGCAGGTGCTCCTCGCATTCAGGTCGTGCGTGGCCTACCCCTAGGCAGAAGAGGATGCCAGGCGTGGAGACTTGCCAGGTCCTCCCAGATTCAGGCCAGGCTCCTGCTGCACCAAATGCCCAGGTCTTGGCTGCCTACTGCCTGTGTGCCCCCTTTGCTAGCCATGCATTCCTCGTGGAGCTGGGCGGGCTCAGTTTGTGTTGCTGCCTTTCTGCTGCTGGCATAGTTGTGTGGAATCTTTCAGTTTCCTGGGGCTGCTCGCAGGTGCCCAGGACCTGCCCCTGGGTCTTGTCTGGTGATCATATGTGCCCTGCTGGTGTGACTTCTTTGCCCAAGGTCACTGCTCCCCCATCCGTGCTGCGCCATGGTCTGGATCGGCTGATCAGTGTCCAGATTCCAAGGGCCAGGGTATGTGGACACCCGGAGCTCTGTATTCATAGGCCTGGGCTCTGTTAGTCCTTATGGCAACTCTGCTGGATGTGCTAAAATCAGCTCTACCCCTTTGGGAAGGCCATGCCAGAGGGTGGAGGGCATGCTCCAGGGCAGAACCGTGGTGACAATGGACCGACTCTGGCTCTGGCCTCCCCATTGCAGCTTCCACCCCTTCCTGAGTGTGCTTGTCCCGTCCTGGCCTGTGGGGTAGTGAGAAGTCCCCTTCCTCCAAGAGCACCTCCAGGCCTCTGCTGATGTCACTGGTGGGCCACAGCCCATGCCAGATCCTTCAGGTGACACCTGGCAGTGCAGCACCTGTCCCTATAGCCTCTGCTCCTCTGAAGGCTGGGCCTCCTTGCCCGGGCCTCCCAGGCAGCCCACTTGGGAGGGACCTCAGGGCCCCCAGATAAGCAGAATCAAAGCCCATGCCATCCGCTTGCCACTGCCCTAGGCTCAGGCTTCCTGGGGCCGGGCGTGCCGTCAGGGCAAGGATGGCTGGGTGTCTGCTCTGAAATTGCCTTCTGTGTCTTGATTTGCAGACAGTATTGAAGCTGTCATTCAGGCTGCATCCTCGCATGTGGAGGTGGCCAGCGAGCACCTGGCCAGAGCCAGCCAGCACCAAGTAAGTCAGTGTGAGGGTGAGAGCTCCTGCTGGCCTGTCCTCTGTCCGTCCATCCACGTGTGGGGGCCTAGGCCCTGCTCCGTGCTCAGGAGGGGCACACCCACAGGGTATCCTCTGAACCAGGCGCTGTCTCAAGCATTGTGGGGCAGGAAGGGCTGGGGAGGGGGCTGCAGTGGTGGCCTGCGCAGCCTGGGTGGTCAGCACCATCTGCTCTCTTGTCGGACCCCCACTGCCTTATCTCTGGAGTCCTGTGCCAGGCCTGTGAGGCAGGTTGCCAGGGCCTCTCCCCAGCTGCTGAGCGAGGCTGGCGGGCCGTGGATATGGCGTGCTCACAGGCCTGGCCCTGGCGGGTCCCCCGTAGATGGACCCCTTAGGAGATGGCAGTGCCCTGCGGCCATGTGGGCTGAGATGCACCTGCGGGGAGCTCTGTGGCCCTCCTTTCCCTCAGAGGGGCAGCTGGGCTTGCCAGTCTCTTCTACCCTCCTCGAGAACACAGCTGGGGAAGGGCGCCTCAGCCTTCCTGAGCCACCTGCCCCGGCACGCGGCTCAGCGTGCATCCTGGGGCAGGCTAGGGGCTCAGAGGGAGTGAGAGCAGACACTCTCGTAAAGGCAGTGAGGCCTTAATGAAATAGCTTGATATGGGCCTTGCAGCAGCCTCGAGGCCTGACCACTGGACCTTTGTGCTGATCCTCGGCCCTCTGAGGGGCCTGGCTGGGCCCAGGCAGGGTTGGGACCCTGGTCCAGCCAGCGGAGGGCCTGGCAAGCACTCTTCCTTGCCGTCTCAGGTACTCCCTGTGACCCTTTGCTCTACTCTGATGTGCAGAGGTGACCATACAGAGCCTGTCCCTCAAAGAACATGTGTCCTGGGGGCTAGGCAGGGTGGACATCCAGCCCATGCAGGCAAAGGTGGCAGGGGCCATCATGGGAACTCAGAGAGGCCCAGGCCAGTTAGGCTTGGAGGGCTTCCTGGAAGAGCACAGGCTCTTGGAGGGCAAGCAGGAGTTGTCCTGGTGGGGACAGTGCAGCATGTGCCCAGCGGAGCAGCCCAGGTGAGCTCTGGATGGCATGGGAGCGTGGATGGCGAGGGGAGCTGTGATGAGGGAGGGATGGCTGCTGTGCTCTCCCAGCCCTGGGGGCTTTGGGAAAGCAAAGTTGTGCTTGGAGAGGCTCCTTGGTTGCCTTAGAGGGTGAGAGAGAGAAGGAGGGCTGCGGTCTGAGCCACACGGGGGCCTGGGCAGGTGGAGATTGGGGTGGGAGAAAGTGCCACCAGGCGGCCCCCATCTGGGTGTGGCGAGAGGGCATGGTGAAGGGGCTGGGGATGTGAGAACAGAGGCTGGGTCTACTGCCAACCCTCCCTTTTCTCTGCCAATATCCATGAAACTCAGGGCGACCAAGGGTCAGCTCCTCGGGCCAGGAGAAGAGACCTAGGAGAGGCTGTGCTAAGGTTGTCTGCAGGGCGGGCAGGAGCAGGGCTGGGGGTCCTGGCGCTGACTCAGGGTGCTCCTGCCTTAGCCCGTGGCTTGCTACCTCACTGCCACTGAGGGCAGCCAGGCCCCAGGGGCCTCCCGGGAGCAGAGGGTGGAAGTTGTAGCTGGCAAGCAAGTCGACTCGGCTGGAAACTCAGGACCCCACCCCACAGTGGCTCGTCCTCAGAGGAAAGCAGCAAGCCGGCAAGACTACCACTTCCCTGAGCACCTGGGGACCGCTGGTCAGAAGGAGCAGCAGATGCCTGGGACAACAGGAGGAAGATATGCCTGTGAGGAGGAAGAGGAAGAGGAGGAGGAGGAGGAAAGGGCGGCGGCAACGGCAGAGGCAACTGGGCCAGCCCCCCGTGGCATGGATGTGCCCAGCCCACTCCCAGTGAGCATGTGGCCTCATTCTTGGGGCGAGGCTGCCATCACCCCATTTCTGTCACAAGGCAGGAGCTGCCCAGGCTGTAGGTGGGCAGGGCTCAGGCGGGAGAAGGCACCGCCATGTGACATCCTGTTCCCACATGTGGGACCTGCCACGTGGCAAGCTGGGGAGGGACATTTGCTGACTTGCCTTCCATACCAGGTCTGGTGAACTGGAAGGGTCAGAGATCCCAAACTTACAGATCTTAAAGCTTTGTATTTTCCAACAAGAAACTTGAGGTCCACAGGAGGAAAGGGCTTTCTCTAGAGCCACGCAGCTATGGAGCCCAAGCAAGCTGGTTTGGGAGCCCATGCGCAGGGCTCGTGCTGCAGCTCTTGGGATGTGCTGCCCTGTCATCCTCCTGGGGACATCCACTTGGGTTGACGGGTGGATGCACAGACGGGCGGATGGGTGTCTGGTTGGACAAGAGGGTGGACAGATGGAAGGGTGCGTGCGTGCATGGATGGCGGGAGGAGGGAAGGGGTGGCTAGATGCGTGGTGCGCAGACGCTGGGCGGAGCGTGAGTAGTGAGGGGGGATGTATCCAGATGGGTGGGCAGATCAGCAGATAGGTCAGTGACAGCTGGCCGGTGGGAGGAGGCTCAGTGACTCGGTGGCGGCCTGGCACATGCAGGAGTGAATCCACGTGCCTCTCCAAGTCCTAGATTCCTCTTCTCTCTCTTGGGTGCTGCCCCACCGCAGGGGGTGTTGTGAGACCCAGGCTGCCCCCAGCACGCACAGGCTTCTAACAGGCCCCTCCCCACACCCCCCCCCTGCGCTATGCCCACTCCTGGCCAGCCCAGGCTGACGTCTCCCTGTCTCCCTCTGTTAGCCGACGAGGAGGATGAGGCCCCCAGCTGCCTGTGGCTGCCCCTGCGGACTGTGGATGGGCCCAGCCCACCTGAACCCGACCCCCTGGACTTCCGAGGAGTCTTCCACGCGCCCGCCTCCTCACCCTCCCCACCGGCTTCCCCAGCCACAGCTCCGCCCGCAGCCACATTTGTGGGGGGCTCCTTCCAGCCCTCCCCGCCCTCCTCGGCGCCAGCGTCTGCACCTCCCATGCCCTCTGGAAAGACCCCAGCAGTGGCCTCCGAAGCGTCTGCATTTGAGCAGCGGCTGCTAGACTCCCACCGCCGGCAGGGTGCCCTGCTCTCCTCCTGGTCCCAGCAGCAGAGCACATTGATGGCCCAGCAGAACCTGCTGCTGCAGCAGCTGGCAGAGCAGAGCCAGCGGCTGGCCGATGGTGTTGAGGCCCTCAACCGGACCCTTGAGAGGCTGGTGGAGACGCACCTCACCCGGGGAGCCTCACCCTCCATCCCAGATGGCGGCCCTCCTGGCGGAGTAGCCCATGGGCTCACCAGAGGCTCCCAAGACAGCCCACAAGGTGCCCACCCAGGGCTCGAGGTCTTCTCAGGGATGATCCTGAAGGTAGAGGAGGAGATGTAGGGCTGGTCCATGGGGTGCTGGCAGGACAGGGCCAGGCCCCCAGGCCCTCCTCTGTGGAGATGGCCAGGCCAAGGAGAGGTGGCAGTGCCTAGGTCTCCAAGGAGCCCAGGACAGCTTGGATCCACAAGGCCAGAGGGTTAAGAAGATGTGGACGTCTGCCTCTGCTGCTCCTCCCAGCCCTGGCTTTGTCTGTGGGGTATGCAGACCTGTAGGGATGGCCTCAGAGAGCCAGCCTGCCAGAGCCGGGTGGAGGAGGTTTACTCAGGGATGAAGCCATTAGAGAAAGAAACAGGAGAAGGGAGGAGCCAGGCCTCTGCACCGCCGTCCCCAGGCTCCCACCAGCTGGGTGCGAGGCCGTGGACTTCCGAGCACAGCACCCTGCAGGCAGGCCGGGGGGCACTGGGAGGTGGGGTGGTGCACCTGGGCATCAGGGCCCTGGACATGGTGGCTTGGCCAGGTGCCAAGAAGGTACGAGAGTGTGACTTGGAGTGACTCCTGAAGCATCTCTCCTTTCATGGCATACGGACTCGGAGGAGCTGGGCTCCTGCAGTTCTGCTTGATTCTGATCCAAGGGAGCCAGTCCCATGGGCCTGTAGTCATTTCTCTCCAGTTTTATATCTATATTATTATAAGTTTATAAATATGTACACATGCATATATATTACCTGGTACTGTATGGGGGTGGGATGCCATTTTTTACCTTAGATTTTTTTTTTGCCAAAAGTATTTTTCTTACATGAGCAAAAAAATAACCAAAAAGGCAGTAATGCTGCGGTGACGATAACAAGTAAATGAGCTGGAACCTGCTTCTTTACTCTGGCGGGCTGTGCCTTTGCTTTCAGCTTCCTGCAGGGAGTTCTGCGACTTCCCTGTTTTCAGAGCCTTCTTCAGCCATTACCTCCTCTGACTCTGTGAGATCCCTCAGCAGGGGCTGCACTGTCTCCTGTGCCCACTTGGTGGGCACAGTCTGTGGCCACACAGGTTGGGCGGCCATCGGGTGCCGGCAGGAGAGGGAGGTGGGGGCAGCCCAGCCACCCGGGGCTATGGCTTGTTCTCCGCCTCCCTCCTTCTCCCTGTCCTGCCCCCTACCTGCCCTGTGGATAAAGCTTTTCCCAGAGGCAAGATGCCAACATCTGGCCTGAGCAAGGGAAGACCCAGCACAGCGAGAGCCCAGACTGCAATGTACTTGGGACACACAAGAGGGGCCTTTTCCTTGTTGGGTTTTACCGCAGGCCAGCAGTGTACCAATAATTGTTGTCTGGCCAGCGGTGTACCAGTAATTGTTGTACCAGTAATTGTTGTGAAAGACCCAAACTCGGCAGCCACACACGCAGCGTGGCCTGGCCACCTTCCAGGCTCTTTTCCTTTTGTGGGTGCAAATAATGACGTTAGTTCTGCATGGGGGGCTTCTACTTAGATGGTTCCCTCCCCAGGAAAGCTAGTCTTCCACCCTCAAAAGCTGGGTTCATCTCAATGCCACCACCTCCAACAAGCCTTTATAAATCTTCATTCTTGGTTCTTGTCCACTAAAAATACTCATCATGGTTGGCATTTGCCTTTCTTATGGTGATGAATATTTTCTTTCTTGTGTTGCAGTCTTACCTGGGACACATTCCCAACTCTAGCCCCAGAATGAGCCTCAATCCAGGCCACACACTGAGCCCTGATCCTCTTCCCACACTGTGTCCTGACTGCAGTTATGTGCTGAGCTTTGACCCTGACCTCGTTCCTGTTTCCACACCTTATTCTCACCCTAGTTACACATTCTGTTCACAGACTTAGCCCTGATCCTAGTGGTACATGGAGCCCTGGCCCCAAGCCCTGACCCTGGTCTGCCCCTTGATATCTGTCAGGACTATCCTTTGGCCTGGGCCCTTTCTAAGTGCTGAGGATACAGAAGCAACCAAGCCAGACAAGCAGCCTCTCCTCTCAAACCTCACAGTGCACTGTGGAAAATGTATACCATGTAAATAAGTCAATGCATATTTGACAAAAGTTATTCCGTGTCACTTAAAACTAGGTTTGATTTGATAGAAAACCAGGAATAGTGTGTTTTAGAGAAGACATTGCGGCTCTTACATAAAGGAAATCTGGAAGTCGATAATCCGGAGCTGGCAAGGTTGCTCTGTAGCCCTCAGAGATTGGTATCTTATCTTTCAGCCCCTCTCTGCCATGGTTCTCATGGTCCAAGATGGATGCAGGACTCCCACCATCACACTCATGTTCCAGGTAGCAGGACTGAGGGAGGAACTTGAGTAAGGGCACACCATTCCCTCGCAAGACATCTCTGCTGACATCTCAGCCAATTGGCTGGGCGTCAATCAAATGCTCATATTTCATTTCAATAGAAGCTGGGAAATATCTTTAGCGTTTTAGCCCAAAAGGGGGAGTGTGTTGCTAAAAGGGAAGGGGGGTGGATGCTGGGGTAGGGATCCTACAACCTGCCGGACTGGGGAGTTGACAGAGCTGGGACCTGCATGGTCTAGAGGGTTGGGGAGGCCTCCTTGGAGATGGCACATTGCAGCAGAGGCCCTATAGGTGACTTGGCAGGAACCAGCGAGGCCAGCAGAGTGGTCAGGCATGGGGAAGGAGGAGCCGGAAGTATTCCAGGCAGAGAGAATATCAAGGGCCAGGTTCGGGAAAACTGACTCCACTTCTGCCTGTGGCTGAGGAGAAGGGACTCAGAGTTTGGGGACAGAGTCTGCGAGTGCTGGTCTGTCTGCCTCCAAAGTGTATGCATACTCCAGCCCTTTAGGTCATTACTTTGTGATGGTCAGATGCTGAGAGGCCAGGCAAGAGCATGACCGGGATGGTGGGTGGCTGTCAGTGGGGCCCCATCAATCTGGGAGGCACACGGAGTGGCAGGCAGCACACAGAGAGGGCAGAGGTATTTATAGATGGGAGGAGAACTGGGGTTCTCCCTCCTCAGACCTGGGACTGGAAGCTGCTTCTGTTGAAGAGGAGGTATGAGGGGCCTGAGATCCATTAGGAAGGGGACTGCAGTCTTGGTTTAAACAAGAGCCAATCAGGAACAGAGTTTTGAGGAAGGACAGTTCTTTATGAGCCCATGAGGTGGAGGCAGCTAAGAAGACCTGAAGCTGTTGAACTGCCCCGCTGGGATTCCAGGTGGGTTCAGACCAGAATCACCCACTTCTCCCCAGAGCCTGTACTTGTTGCAGTCTGTCCCCAGGCATCCCAAAGTTTGCACATGAGTGATCAAGATGGAGGAGAAGGGAAAGTCACTAAGAGGGTGGCAGAATCAGTATTAATGTCGTGATGTGAAGTACCTGCGGGCCCCCCGATGGGGAGGCTCAGGTGAACATCTGTCCCACCGATAAGTGGGTCTGTCCCAGCACAGGGGCTTGTTGAAGCTCTGGCAGTAGCAGAACCCTTCTAGGGACCATGTGGCCTGAGAAGGAAAGGGGGCCTGGGACAAGGCCCTGAGGAGCTCCCACCTAGGAGCACAGGACAGGTCAGCAAAGGAGAGAGAAGGAGCTGTCTGAGGGGGAGGAGAGGAAGTGACATGTCAGCTGCAGTGACAGAAGCTGGGAAAGGTTCGGGGAGATAGGGATGGCCGGCACCATCATGTGCCTCAGAAAGGCCCAATGGGGCAAAGACGAGGGCCCTGACGTGGGGCATACAGAAGGCATCGGTGACCACGCAGGAGATGCTTCTGTGGCATTCCATGGTGGTGTTTGATTACAGGGCCTTCTATGGTGTGTTTCAGAAACGACAGGCTAGGGGAGTGGGTGGGATGATTTCCATAAGAGCTAGAGAGCTCAGGTCACCTCACTAAGTCCCCCGTTTTACAGACAGTTGGACTGAGAACCCAGGGTGATGGAGTGGCAGGAGCCATGCCCAGGGTCATGGAAATTTCTAGAGGCAGGCCTGAAACCAGGTTTTCTGATTCTAAGTTTATGCCCTTCCCTATGTCGTGTTGCCGTATCAGGTGGGTGAGAGTGCCTCTCATGTTGCCTTGTCCATCATCTGACTCAAAATGAACAAAGCCAATTCCCCCACCCTTGAGGGTCTTGGGAAATGAGGAAAGCTGGGCAGATCTGATCCTGGTGTATGGTGGATACTATTTGAAGGGCTCTGCCACTATAAAGCAGTTTAATATGGAAAAACTTAATTTTAAACATGTTGATGGCTTGCAGGAAATAGGCAGGGTAGCCAAGGTCTTGCCCCTCATTCCTTCCCACTTTCCCAATCAAACATGCTAGAGTGGGAAGCCAATAACAAGCAGGTTTGTCCTAATTTCGAAGGTAGTGTCACGTCTGCTAGTGGATCTTGGACCCCAGCAGAAATTTCTTTCTGGGGAAAAGATCTAGTCAGGCCTCTGGGAAAACCACAGAACCAGAAGAATCATGTCAGAAATCACGGTCTGTAATGGGGCATGCCATTGAGCAAATATCGGGAGAAAGAACCAACGATAGCAAAAATAACAAAACAACGGTTTAGGCCCCAAAGGACTTCAGCTATTGGAATCACACAATATAATTTCTATGAAATATTCTTAGAAATAAGATGAAATCAGAGGATTGGATTATCTAAAGAGATCAGGGAAAGAGATCTGAGAAAGATCAAATATGGCTTGTAGAAAGGAAGAACTTGCTAGATTAAGTGACATGTTAGACATAAGTAAACTGAGAAATAGCAAACTGGAAGATTTCTAAAGAAATTTTGCACAATATTGCACAGAGAGGTAAGAAATATAAGTAGACATAAATTGAGAGATATGGAGAGTAGAACCAGACATTCAATACACATCTACCTGGAGTCCCAGAAGAAGAGAATCAATTGAACACAGGAAAGGCAGTGCATGAAAAGGTCACTTCACAGATTGGGATCCCATGGGAACAGGAGGTACGTGTGTGCCAAGCAGCATGAATGAAAAGAAAAACGTCCCTAGACACATCATGGGGAAACTGCAGAACACCACAGAGAAGGAGAAGGCCTTATGCACAGCTAGAAAGAAAGGAAAAGAATGATAGTTTCGAAGATGGCTCACTTGACATCAACAATAGAAACCAGAAAACAGGAATACCTACAAAACATTGAGAGAAAGAAAGTCACTGTCAACTTAGAATTCTGACACCAGCAAGACTATCAAGAACAAAAGCAAAATACAGATATACCATACCAATGAAAACTGCAAGGGTTTATCACTAATAGACTTTCACTAAATGGATTTTTAAAAGATGGACTTCAAGGTGGAGGAATATAACCTCAGAAGGAAGATCTGTAATGCAAGAATAGTGAACCAAGAAGTGTATAAATATGTAAGTAAAACCAAATACCCATTAAGATAAAAAAAAAAGTCTATGACTAGAATGTCTAATGTGTGGGATTAAATTGTTAGAAAGGATAGAACAACAACTAGACAGTGATAATCTATTGGGAAGAATTGTTAAAGGATTCTGAGTTTCTTCTATTATTTGCAGAGAAGTTAAACATTGACTAATTTTATTCTCTATAAATAACTATACATGGTAAAAAACTCAAGGGTTTCTCTATCAAAATTGAAAACTTCTCTGTAAAAGATCCTGTTATGAGGATGAAAAGAGAAGCCAGTGACAAGTAGAAAACATTTACAAATCACATATCTGACAAAGGACTTGTATCCAGAATATATAGTATAAAGAGCTCTCTCAATTCAACAGTCAGAAAAAAATGATTCAATCAGCAAATGGGCAAAAAAACTTGATCACACACTTTACCAAAGAAGATATACGGGTAGCAAATGAGCACATCAAAGACTCTTAATATCAGTGGTCATTAACAACAATGCAAATTAAAACCATAAGGAGATACCACAACACACCTACTAAAATGACTAAAATAGGAGATAAAAGGATATGGACACTCTGGGAGGCCGAGGTGGGCAGATAGCTTGACAAGGTCAGGAGTTCAAAACCAGCCTGAGCAAGAGCGAGACCCCATCTCTACTATAAATAGAAAGAAATTAATTGTCTAACTAATATATAGAAAAAATTAGCCGGGCATGATGGCACATGCCTGTAGTCCCAGCTACTCGGGAGGCTGAGGCAGCAGTATTGCTTGAGCCCAGGAGTTTGAGGTTGCTGTGAGCTAGGCTGACACCACGGCACTTACTCTAGCCTGGGCAACAAAGTGAGACTCTGTCTCAAAAAAAGAAAAAAAAAAAAAGGATATGGAGAAGGGGATTACCCAAACATGGCTGATGGGAATGTAAAATGTTACAGCCACTCTGGAAAACAGTTTGATAGTTTCTTAAAAAGTTGAGCATAACACTTACTTTACAATCCCAATAGTTGTATTCCTGGACATTTGTCCTAGAGAAATAAAACTCACATTTACATAAAAACTTGAACATAAATGCTCATAGCATCTTTATTTGTTAAGGGCCCTAAATTGGAAACAACCCAGATGTCCTTCAGTAGGTGAGTGGTTAAACTGCGGTACATCCATATAATGGCCCACTGCTTAGGAATAAAAAGGAGACAACTTGAAAATGCCAATAACTTGGATAATTCTTGAGGGCATCATGCTTAGTGAGAAAGCAAGTCTCGAAAGGTCATCCTGTATGATTCCGTTTATGTAACATTCTCAGAATGACGAAATGGCAGAGTTGGAGAAGAGGCCAGTGGTGGTTGCCAGGAGTGGGTGGGCTGGGCTGCAGCTGTAAGGGAGGAGTTCTCACTGTGATGGAACAGTTTTGTATTTTGATCATGGTGGTGGTTACACACATCTACATAAGTGATAAAATGCCACAGAACTGTGACAAATGAGTACACAATAAATACAATAAAACTTAAGGCATAAGTAATCTCTTAAAGAATAGTATTAGGGTATATAACATCCAAACCAGTGAAAATGGAGTAAGAATATAATTAAACAAAAACTTTATTGAATAAAAAAGGAAAGGACAAAAGGCAAAAAAAGAAAAAAGGCAACAAAAGAAAAGGAGAAATAATATAGAAGAAAAATATAGGACAAATAGAAAATGCAAAACAAGCTTTTAGAACTGTCCAGCAAATAAAACAGATAGATTAAAAGAGCTCATTAAAAGTCAAGAATCATCAGATTGGAGGAAAAAATGACGTATTTGCTGTTTGCAAGAGATGTGCTAAAACATAAGAACATGTATAGTTGGAAGTAAAGGTACAAAGAAAGATGCGCCAAACACTATGCAAAGAAAGCTTGGGTGGCAATGTTAATTTTAGACAAAGAAGACTTACATATTATGGATGGAGAGTCACACCGTAACAGGTTCAGCTCATTAGGAGGATGAAAAACCCTAAACTTACATGCACTTAATAATTTAAATAAAGCAAAAATGGATTGAAATACAGATGGAAATTGGTAAATCCATCATGATAGTGGAAGGTTCAACATACCTTTTTCAATGATTGTTGGGGAACACAGGCAAGAAGTTGCTTAAGATCCAGCAGACTTTAACAACTGTGCCTAACTGAGTGGACGCTGACAGAGCCCTGTACCGAACACATAGGGGACACTTATTTTCTCATGCACATGGAACATGTACACATTTTGACCACAGACTAGGTCATAAAGCAAGTGTCAAAAATTTCAAAGGATTAATAATACATAGAACACTGCAATTATTAGAAAATGCAGTTAGAAAAATGCAATGATCGATATCAGTAGCAAAGAATAAAGTCATCGAATGTTTGGAAATTTGAAAATAGTTCTGAATAACTCAGAGGTCAAAGATGAAATCATTAATGGATATGTAAAGTACTGGCTATGTGCAAAGACATAATTGGATAATAATGAAAATATTGCCTATTAAAATTTGTGGGATACTTGAAATTAATAGTTGTAAGTGCTTATACTACAAAAGATAGAAGCTGAAAATTAAAATATTAAGACATTAAAAAGACATTTTTTAAAAAGAAAGAACCACAGAATAAACTCAAAGAAATTAGAAGGACGAAGATTGTAAAGAGCAGAATTTTAAAGTTATAAAAGGCTCTGCAGAGCCAAAATCTAGTTCCTTAGAAAGACCATTAAAATGGACAAGCCACTAGTACGATTGGTCCAGGACAAAAGGAGCAGAAATTCCAAAATAGAGAATTCTAGGAATAATCTTATGCCAACAAATTTGGAAATTTAGAAAAAATGGACAGATTCCTAGAAAAGTACAATTTGCCAACATTGACTCAAAAGTAAATAGATAGCCTCAATAGTTCCATAACCATTACAAAAACTGAATCAGGAGGAAAAACTCTTTTCACAATGGAAACACTAAACCCAGATGGTTTTCAAAGTGTGTTACACCCAACTTTCAAGGAAGAGATCCAACCTTATGCAATTTTTCTAGAAAATAGAAAAGGGGGAAATTCCTAATCCATAGGATAGGTCAAACCCAGAGACAACATGGAAATAAGGAAATTATAGGCCAGTCTACCTCATGCATGTAAGTGTTGTGATCCTAAATAAAACATTGGCAAACTGCATCTGAAAGTGTTTAAAAAGACAGGGCCTCCTGAACAACCTGGATTTATTCTAGAAATGGATTTACACCAAGGTGATTTAACATTGGTTACTCATCCACTTATTCATTTAATCAATATAAAACCTATACATACAATTCAACATTACCAAAATAAATAAGAAAAAGTATATAATCATCATCTCAGTAAGTCCTCAGTAAGTCCTGAGGAAATATTTGATACAGTTGGAAACCCATTAATATTCAAAAAAAAACTTTGCAAAATAAAAAGACAAGAATTTCCTTAACTGATAAAGATTACTACCAAAATCCCAATGGTAAATATGAATGGTAGAATGTTAAGAATGCTCCTTTTAAAAAGGAGTAAGTTGAGAGTACTAGCTAGCTCAGTAAGAAATAAGATGAAATAATATGTAGAGACTGGAAAAGAAAAAACATACACTGTCTTCATAAACATACACTGTATTCATAAAAATAACTCCTGGACAAATTAGTAGAATTTATAAGAGGGTTTGGTAAGGTGACATGGTCTAAAATCACAATCTTAGACTCAAATGCATTTCTGTACATACTCAATAGGTAAGCTGTATTTTAAAATATGCCATTTATAATAGCAACAAAAATATATAATGAAGTATGAGGAAAAATGGAGAAAATTATGAAACTTTATTAAAAGACATTTTAAAAGACTTATACAGATATATACACAGACATACATATATACTGTTCATGAATGGGAAGAGTCAGTATTATAAAGCTGTCAATTCTCCCCAAATCCATGTATAGGTCCCAGGAAATTCCAATCAAGATTCTCGTAGCATTTTTCAAAGAGTTCGGCAAACTGATTATAAATTTTTTTTTAGAGAATGAAGGCCCCCAAACAACCCCAGCACTCTGGAACAAGAAGAATTAAGGTGGAGAACATGCCCTTCTAACATGGAGACATTGTGAGTCTGAATGGGACGTGAACGCCCGGCTGGAGGCCTGGGCCCTTGCCTCGCGGGCAGTGGAGGACCCCGAGGTGGTGAGCAGGTCGGCCCCTAGGCCGGCATTGTGTCCTACTGAGATGGACTGACAGGCGAGAGCTGGTGGGGCCTGGGGCAGGCTGGCCCTGGCCCCTTTTGGGGGAAGGACCAGCTGTCTGGGAGTTGCCAGCCCCATGCAGATTTGTTTAACCCAGTCAAAATGTCATGTACTTTTGTTGGGTGCCTGCCAGGGCCAGCCGCAGCTGTAGTCAGCAGGACTCTCCCAGGCACCAGCCCCACTGCCCACGTTGGACTTGCTCGATCTGGCCCTTGTGACCCGTGCTCTGCAGGGAGCTGTGAAGGATAGGCTCTCAGAAGGCATCTGAGGGGCTCTGTGGGACCCACTCTGGGCCCTGTGCTCTGCCTCTGCGGAGCTCCTGGTTTAGCAGGAAGGCCGGGAAAACATTATCTTTAAAGGGGAATGACCACAACCCCCTCCACACCCCAACCTTGGGGCTGTCGCCAAGATAAGGGAATACGATCACTGCTGCCCAAACACTCTGGCAGGTACATCCTAGTCTCACCTAGTACAACCTAGTCTTCACCTGTGTAGATGCAGGTCACGGTGCCCTGTGCACTGGGCACTGCTACCATCTTCCAATAACGCTAGACGGCAGGAGTGACCCATCCTGGCCGTGGTTAGTGTGAGGAGCGTCAGCCTCCTTTCAGTCCCTCCCTGCTACTTTCCACTCTCCGCAGGGCTGTCTGCGTCCCATCCTGCTGGTTCCCTTCAGAAGATCTGCTCTGACCCCCTGCCCTTCCTGCTTCACTCCGCGCGGCTGGGCCCTCTGATACAGGAGGCTGCCCTGTGCGTCCGTCCAGGCACGGTGAGGCCAGGGGCTGGCTTTGCTGGGGCTCAGCTGGCTGGCTGGCTGGGCGAGACAGAGCTGCAGAAGGAAGAAGGTATCTGATGGGGCTAGGGCTTGGGCTTAGGGACAGATGGTGGCTGAGGAGCTTGGGCCTGTGACCTACTCCACATCCAGGAAAGGGCAGGATGAGCCAAGAACCCAACTGCCTCCCGGCTGCGAACCCTGGCCAATGTGTGCCCCAAGGCAAGACAGGGCACTGGGCCAGGGAGGGCTGAGTGCCCTTGAGGATGAGCCACCATCCCCAGCTCCAGCCACCCTGGCTTGCTCCTCTGTCCCTTAATTTTCCTGCTCACTTTTCTCTCCCTCCCTCCTCCTCCTCTCTTCCCTTCTCTCCCTCTCTCTCTACACTGTGGAGCTTCTGTTGCTCTCAGTCTATGCGCTAGTTGTCCTGAGATCATGACTTGACTTTTTCCATTTTCTTCTCTGGAAA